AGATTTTGACCCAAAATCATTTCTAAGCCATGCTTGTTATCTTCAGGTTGTACAATTAAATATACTTTATTGAAGTTGATATATTTGCTACGTACTTATTTATACTTTGTCTCTATAAGGAATGATTTTGGTTTTTGGATTTCGTGCACGACATACGTACATATGTACAATTTCATTGAAAATTGAATAAGCGCATATCAGGAAAATTTCATGTGTTGTGAGCGAAGCTTTTAAAAACAAGAATTCTTTTTTTAACAGGTTAATTTATTCTAGAAAATTTAATTCTAGAAACATAAAAGACCATGGAAAACGAGATTTCCGATTTACGCATAGTAGTTGCTATTGGTAACTTAAATTATACACAAATTAATTATTTGATTATTTATGAGCCTCAATAAAAATCAGGCACTTTGATGTTAAAGTCTTTGATTTCTATTAATGGTATAAAAATTGGAATTAACTCATTTTACATTATGTTTTATTTCTTTTAAAAGATTTTGGGACAACAGGTTCAGGTACGTAACATCTTTCTTAAAAGATTCGAGATTTATTAAAGTATCTTGACCATCTTCATATCTATATGTAGGGTTTGCTTTTGCTCATGTTAAAAATCGTGAAATCACCTGCCACGATTCATGGTAATATATTAAATGAGAAATTCTAAAAAATACAATTTACAATAAATTTTGTTTATTTTAAAAGGCCAGGTCAAAGCGCTTGGCACTTTTATCCGAAAGCTCATACAGTACTTCAATATAACAAAAATTGGGATGTCGAAGAATGGGGCGATAATGCATTAGCAGAAGATCCGTGTACACATGATTATGATGGTGGTGTTGATGATGATGAATCCAATAATGATAAAAAAATAGTAGAATATTTAAGTTACATTTGGCTGGTATATCTGATGACGAAAAACCTTACCTACCTCAAGGACTGGATTATCGAAAAGCGATTACAGATTTTCTCAAAAAAATGTTGATAGTATGTTTATAACTAAAATCTCTTGAGGTTTTTTATTTTATTACCATTAATCATTTATTTGCTAAACATCTAATAGTTAATCGAAGAAACTCTTACCAAAAGATGGGATGGAATAAAAATGTCTCAAGTTCGATATGTTTTTACTGTACCAGCAGAATGGTTTGTCATTTGCATGGCCTTTTCCCATAACTTTAACTTCGATTAATGTTTCTGATGATATAGGGGACCAGAAAAATTGGAATTTTTTTAAATTGCATATATGATACTAAAATCATTGAGAAAAATTATAACTTAGAATTTACTACTGAACGTGAGACATTATCAATTGGATTGCCATTAATTCCTAGTCTTTCAGAAAATTTAATACGTTCAATATCTTATTTGATTATGTTTCCTGATTTTTTTTTTAGCTGAAGCAGCCGCCCTCCATTGCATGGAAACATTGAATGAATATGATCTATCTATAGGAGGTTGGTTTGTATACATATATGATTTATATCATAATATATACATAATAATTAACATAGTTTTTTTCGTATATAGACTCGTATCTGATGGTGGATTGTGGCGGTGGTACTGTAGATTTAACCATGAGGACACTGTTGGAAAATAAAGTACTTGATGAAGTTACCGAACGTTCAGGAGCGTTATGTGGCGGCGTTTGTGTAGACCAAAACTTCATTAAATTCTTGGGAGAAAAAATTGGAGAAGATGCAATTATGAATTTTAAACAAAATGATTATGGAGAATATCAATATTTAATTAATAACTTCTTCTGCCCAAAGATCAAATTCGGCTTCACGGGAGAACCTTCGGAAGCAAGAAAAAGAATAATTTTAGATCTTAATAGAGAATGTCCTGGACTTAAAAAATATGCAAATGATTGTGTGCGGATTCCAATAAATTTCGAAGATATTATTTCCATGTTTGATCCCGTTGTGGAACAAATCATCAACCTCATAGAAAAGCAACTCGCAGATACTACTAAAAAATGTGCCGCTATGTTTTTAGTTGGTGGTTTCTCCGAATCCATATATCTAACTAAGAAAATAAAAGATCGATTTAGGATGAAGGTTCCATGCATTAATGTACCTCACAATCCAATTACTAGCGTCATGCGTGGAGCTGTTATATATGGTTTAAACAAAAACGTCATAAAAAATCGTATTTTGCCAATGTCTTATGGTAAGCTGAAATAATTTTTATATTGATCTTTGACAATTTTTTAACGTGATCACTTAAAATAGGCATGAGCATTTGCGACTACAAGACTGGTCGATCTGACAAATTTTATTGCATTGCAAGTCGTGGACAAAAGATTGCACTTGAAGAAACATTTACAGAAATATGTATGCCTGAGAATGATGATCAAGAAGATGTTATTTTTGAGGTCTTTGCTACTTCAAGAACTAATGTCGAATATTGCAATGAAGATGGCGTGAAAAAAGTTGGAGATTTACGTATTGAGTTACCTGATAATCATTTAGGTTCAAGTGAATCTGAAGTAGCGATTTCCTTAACATTTGGCGAATTATTAATTACGCCACAGCTAAAAATAAGGAAAATAAAAGTTTAACTGCAAAATTTACATATGTTAGGCCAGAATTTGTTGAACTAGTTTAACCGCTTCGTTTTTTAGTTGGACAATTTCGTGAATGATGTAGATAGGTTGAAGCTATTGGATATTATTTTCACAATAAGGTCGTTTGAATTTAAAGATTCGTTTAACGTTCCTTTTTTTCATATTTGCTTGAGGGGGGAGGGAGGGAAAACAAACACTAAAATTAAACAGACCTAAATTAGGTTCAAAATGTACCTGATTTGGGTTCATTTATATCCGTTTTTTTTTTTTTTTTGTGATATATATATATTTTTTTATACTCGTTTTCTATTGGCTTGTTTAATGTCGAGGGGAGCTCCAGTGGTAGGGGGAGAACGTTAAACGAATTTTTAAATTCAAACGGCCTAACTACCGTACAGTGCTGCATGTGGTGCCCTTTTGAAAAGTATCCATTTTAAATAGTATCGGAGTACTATTCATATAACATTTTTGAAACTAGTGCAATAGGTGGGACGAAGTGCCACCCATCTGTTTAGTAACTAGCAAAAAAAAAACTCCGTATATAGTTATATATCATTATGTATGAAAGCATTCCATCTAATAAACTAGTAATATGCTCATTGCTAATTGAACTAAACCTATGCCCCGATATTAGAGAGTTTGTGACACAATTTCTCATATAGTGTCTTTCTTCATACTGATCGA